AATCCCTATAATGTGAGAGCACACTCCCCCTTCCCACCCCGAGTTTCCCATGGCTATCCAACCAGCTCCTGTCCCTTTCTGCCTTCTCATCCTGCCTCAAGACAGGAGCCACCGGTTTGGTCTTGTATATCTGCTTGAACTAAGAAGCACATTCTTCTCAAGTTTTATTTTATGTTTTGTAGTCCAGTCTAATCTTTGTCTGAAGATTGGACTTCAGGAATGGTCTTAGTTCTGGGTTAACAGAGCCGCCGGGGTAGTCTTTCTAATAAAAATCTCATATATAATTTGTTTTCAGTTGTGAGTAGATCTTTTACTTTAGGCTAGTTAATTTAAATGTTAGTGTTTGATTGAGAAAGCATGAAAACTGAATCTAGATAAGCCCATGTTAGCTCTTTATTTTACAGAATTTTGTTGTTATTCTTAATTTGAAAGAAATAGAAATAACTTAGACTTTGGAGTCAGAAAGAACTAAGTTTTACCTAAATAATTGCTTTGTAACTGTGAACAAATTATTTTACCTCTCTGAGCGTTAGTTTCCTCATTTATAAAATGGGAATAATAGTAGCTATTTCCCAGTATTGTTATATTTTCCACTTAACTATCTTTTCATCAGTTTGATTTAGCAAGGCTATTTTAATCATTACCGGGTATGTCTTCCAGAATCTGGGACAGAATTGGGCTTAGAGATGAGCACCTCTACCCTTGTCATACTGAGGAATCAGATCTCCTGGAATTTCAAAATCCTTTAACATTTATGTTGAATATAACTTTTATGACATTTTTGAACTTTTGTTATTGCTCGAATTTTTAGTTTTGCTGTTTTTCTTGGATAGATTACAGTATATAAAAATATGAAGTAAAATTTTGGCCCTTGTTTTATCAGTGGAAACCTGCTCCAGAATCTGCTAGAATTATAATTACTCATCACTTGACTGGTAGTCCACAAGAGAAGCAGTGGTAGATTGTTCCCTGTTTTGTGCCCAATATGATCATCATTTGATTGGGAGTTGATGTCTGCATTAGGAGGATGTTAGCATTCAAAAATGATATTTGTTCATCTTGTCAAAACAAAAATCACAGTAAGCAGTAATAGAAATTGACTCAAGTTTATTTAATATACAATTTGCAAATCAGAGTAACATTTTAACTAGAGTCAAAAATGTTCCAAAGATGAGACAACTTTGAAACACTCTTAGACCAAATCTTATCTGCCATGGAAAAAAAGGTTTGGAACAGAACTGATAAATATGTGGTCAGGAAGGCTTTTCATACAGCATTGTCTTGAAGAACAATTAAAATAATTACTAATTTACCCTAAACTTAGCTCCCTGTCTGACCCTTGGAGTTTGTTTCCCAAAACTGACTGAATTATTCAAAAGAGCCCAATGCCCAAGGCAAAACGGTCTTACTAATTTACCTAGACCATTGTTTGACTCAAAGATGAAAGGCACTCCCAGGAACCAGTTTCTCCAAGGCTCAAGGTTTGAACAATTCCCAAGGGCAGAAGGCCTGAGTGGGTCACCCCAGCTGCATGAACCCAGAAATCTGAATTCCAGGAGAATTAAAATGGTTTCTCAGTCTTTACAAACAAATCTTGTTTGGAATGAGAAAACAACCTTTAAATATACAATCCTAAGTATAAGAAGATAATCCTGTATATACTTGAGTATGAATTTTTAACTTAGCTAATATATAGAAGCGTGGTAAAATTAAAATACATCTTCTGTAACTTTGTAGCTGAGGGATAGAATGAACGGTCATTGAAAGGTCTCAGTATAAGGTTCATAAATTAGTGTTCCTGAAGGGACTTTGGAGGGGGATATTGGGGGAGGGGGGACAGGTGGTGGTTTTTGTGACAGGCTGGGGTATGTAGTATGCTTTATTAAATTGTATGACCTTGGAGTTTTAAGGGCATAAACCAACAACAGCCTGTGAAGATTTTTTTCTTTTTTTTTAATGACAAAAGTTAACCCTCAAACTGAACAGTTAAGCTAGGCTATATGGATAATGGTATTTTCGGTGATGTTAGATTTTAGAACTAAGGATAGGTTTTTATTTAGTATTGTTCATTTATACTGATAGTTCTCATATGGTTTGTAGTTAATTCTGTACTGTAGCACCCTATCATGATTCTGTTGTTTGAAAGCTTAATTTTTTTAAATAGTCTAGACTTTATTTTTTAGAGCAGTTTTAGATTTGTAGAAAAAATGGGCAGAAAGCACAGAGTTCCCATTTACTCCCCCCCCCCCCGCCGTGCATTGTTTCTTCTATTAACATTTTGCATACCTGTGGTACATTTGTTACAATTAATGAACCAATATCGATACATTATTAGTAACTATAAGTTCAGAGTTCTCGTTAGGGTTCACTCTGTGTTGTATAGTCCTATGGGTTTTAGCAACTTCTTAATGTGTCTACCATCACAGTATCATACAGAATAGTTTCACTGCCCTAAAAATGCCCTGTGCTCCCCTTATTCAGCCTTCCTCCCTCCCCGTCATAAATATCTTTTTAAAGGCTAAGAAAACAAAAAGATCCACTTTATTTACATTTTGATGAAACTAAAAGTCACAATTAATATTAAATACCTAATTATGTAAAACATTATTTACAGTTTGTGTAAATAAAAATAGACATAAGGCAGATTCCCAGAATGTGAAGGTTACTCATATCCTCCCTTTCCCATTTCTCCATTTTCTCTGACACCAACCACTCACATGTCACTTTGTCTCTCTGACCCTAACCAACCAGTTAGGTTAGATCTTAGAAATTAGACAGACTTAGATCTGTCCTTCAGATTGACTGCCTTCGCAGCCTTTCTTTATCTTCCAGCTACCCAGAGCTGGGTTTTCGCAAGTTAGAAAGACTCTTGTCCTTCTGACTGCCCCATGCATGTAGTCAGACGCCAGCCCATGCTGGCTCTCACTGCCCCTCATGGATTTGATAATTGTCTAGAAAGACTAACAGAACTCATGGAAGGGGCTATACACACTATGACAACTTTAATACAACCAAGAAAGGATACAAACAAAGTGAAATGAGGTATAGGAGTTCCCAGCACCAGACTTTCATGTCCTAATGGACATGCCACCCTCCCCCATGCATTGAGGTCTTTATCAGCAATACAGGAAGCCCTTAACTTCCATGTTCAAAGCATTTTATTGGCTTTCTTGCATAGTCATGATTGGGGCCTAATAACATAGTCATGATTTAATTATGCCCTTACTCTTTTGCACATATTCTCAGGTGCTGACTTGGCGGTTTTATGTAATAAAGGCACCTTAATTGCTAGGAAATTCCAAAGGCTATTTTTTAGGAACCAAAGACAAAAGGCCTGAGTTCTTTGTCTCACAGATAAAATTTTCAGACTCTGAATATTCTCTTAACTTTTATTTTAAAAGTTTATTTTTAAAAATGGAAATCTCTTAAATTTATATACTTTCCTTCTTGAGTATATGAGCTTGATTTATCGTTTTCCTTTTTTCATTTAAAAAATATTTTAGTGCCTACTATATGCTAGGTGCTGTACTAGACATAGGGGTTGTGATGCTGAGCATTCTTAGGAATTGTGATACATGTTTTGAAGAAAAAATAAGATTGCTTTGAGAGCATGTAACAGGAATATTCTTAATCTAGATTGGGCTCAAGTAAGGCTTCCAGAAAAAGCAATCTTTTGACTGAGACCTAGGATGAGTGGTGATTAACCAGACAAAAGGAGAGGAGGTGTTCCTGGCAAAGGGACTCTCCTTTACAAAGGCCCGGAGTGTGAAGGAAACAGAGCAGAAGTCCAGTGACTGGAGCACAGATTATGGAGAGAAGACAAGAGTAGTGGAAGTGGAACTCAGAGACTGTAAGCCTTTGTAGAACACCTTAATAAAAATTTTGTTCTTTACCCTAAGAACAGTGGGAAATCATTAAAGTTTTTTAAGTGGACAGTTGGTAAGATCAGATTCGCATTTTTAAAAGATCCCTCTGATTGAAGTGGCAAGAGCAGGATGAAATGGGACTAGAGTGAAGTGGAGAGAACAATGGCTTTGCAGTAAGTAGTCCTGGCAAGGGATGGTTATAACTTGAATGAGGGTGGCTGAAGTGGAAGTGAAGGGAAATCAACAGGTTCAAGATATATTTAATAGGTAAAATTCTCTGGAGTTAATAGATTACATACCAACGGTTAGAAGTGGTCATGGATGACATCCAGGTTTCTGGCTTTCACATTAAGAAAGTTCTAATGCATTTGCTAAGGTAGAAAACACTAGAAAGAGAACCAAAGATGGGAGGTGGGGATAGGACATGAGTTCAATTTTGAACCTGTTGAATATAGGCAGTTCTTGAAGAATTTGGGAGAGAGAAAAGAGAGAGCAGGTGGAGGGGAATGTGGGACAGAGTTTTAAGGTGTGTAAGAGACTTGAGCATGTTTAAATGATGAAAAGAAGGAAAGATCCAGTAGAGGGGGAAGTTTCAGAATTGTTGCAGGAGGGGAGGGAGTAATGGAAAGAGCCAAGTCATTAAGAAAGACTAGGAAGAACATACCTAAGTCGAATTATAAGTAAGAGGTGTGATAATCTCTAGTCTTTTAACAAGAGAAAAGAAGAGGACGTTGTAAATGTAGGTAGGTTTCCCCTGAGGTAGGGAGCTGTCATTTGCTGAAAGGGGTTAGGAGGCTGGAAGGGGAGCAGGAATCAGCAGCTTGAGGAGAGTGGAGATTTGCAGTAGTTGAGGCGGCTAGTAAATTGAGTAACATAGTAGGATTTCTTGGCCATATCGAGGGAAGTTTTTTTTATTTAATGAATATCACTTAATGTTATCTTAAATAAATTAGATTTGAACAGAAACAGCAAGAAAGTGACCTCTGCTCAGCAGGTTACTGATGACCCTATAAATTTTTTATAATGGTGTCAATTTGCCAAGACCTAGCACTATCCTGGATGTTAACTTAGTGTTATTTATGTTACTTAGGCCTAGTTTGTTTCTAACTGATGTTCTTCTTTTCCCTTCTCTAGGCAGGCAGAAGTCCTGAAGGCTGACATGACAGGTATTTGGCTTGTCTGTTTTTCACTAATTTTATATCATTAAATTAAGGGAAGGCTATCCTGTTTTTAGGAGCCTGGGTGGCGCAAGCAGTTTGTGATTGGCTGCTAACCTGAAGGTTGGCACTTTGAACCTACACAACAGCTCCATGGAAGAAAGGCCTGGCAAACTGCTTCTGTAAAGATTAGAGCCATGAAAACCCTGTGGATCAGTTCTACTCTGTAACACATGGGGTCACTATGAGTCAGAATCTACTCAGTAGCAATGGATTTGGTTTTTTTCTTTATCCTCTTTTCTATGTTATTTGTAGCACTAAATACTGTCTTAGTTGCTTTAAATATTTACTGTTTTTATACTTCTAGAATTATATGCTATGCTCTCCAAGTTCATGGGTAACCTCACTGTCATCTTGTTCAAAGAAAAAGGCAAAAGAAAGTTTATACATTTGTTTAATATAGCACCTAAGTTCTTCCCATTATTAACAGAATTTTCATCATCAGTGTCAGTTCTAGGCTATAGTATTATGCTTTTGTATCGACATTGTAAGCATAGTCTGTATTGTGTGATAAATGCAGTGCATGGAGCAACATCAAGCTATCTATGCCATTTAATTTTTCATAAATATTGAACAGCCACAGTAAGGCAGCTTTGGGTTTGACTTTATAGGGACATTTGAGTGCCCAGAGAAATTAAGATAGTAAGCCTACTCATTTTAATGATGGCCTACCTGATAGGTCAGAGTTAATGATCCCTTACAGTCCCTTCCCTGCCATCAATGAATTGAAGCAGAGTTGAATAAATCTATAAATACATTTATTTAGTGATTTAAAAATTAATAAGGAACCAAGAAGTGAATGCTAGACTATATTCTTACTAGCCAGCAGACTCTTTTAACCATAAACTCAGATATCCAGGAGATTCTGTGTGCAGAATAGGATTTTGGTGGCTATAGATATTAATAGCAACCCTCCAGAAGAGTGAAGATTATGCCATTGTGCAGCAGCAGAATCCTAAATGCAACCAGATAGCGTTAACTAGCTGTTGAAAATAAATTTAAAATTCCATTAATAAGTTCTACTGAGGCAGCTCACTGTCAATTACTGCACCCATAAGCCTAATAATGAAGAAGGTTGGTGTGCCCTGCAGAACTCTGGCACACATTATGGCGCCAATTTGGCATTAACATATAGTCATAGCCTGACTTCCTGTTTGGCTCAGATTTTACCTTGTACCATATCTCTCATCTGGCCTCTTGAGCATTTTAATCACTGTCTGCTACAAGCCCTCCTTTGCATTAAATGGCAAGTGTGGATTGCTCACAGAAGTTTCTTGGAAAGCAGCCTCCCAGTCATTAAAATAACATCCACTGTCATGGTTTTATTGGGTTAACGTATATAGAATAGGAGTGACAGCAGAATGCCTAAACAACTGCTGATGGTGAGCTGACATGAGAATTCTGTAAGTACATTTGTGAGAATGATTCAAAACAAAAAGAGCTGCTTTGGACTAGAAGTTATAGTTAGTTATAAGAGTACACAAACTAACTTGGCAGTCCATCATCAAATGGGCCATATGTGAGGCATATGGCTTCCTATAATATGAACAGGCAGAAAGCCAAGTGAAAAGCACAGAGTGAACCATTCTTTTTTTTTTTTTTTTTTTTAAATCTTTTTTCATGTCATGGTGTTATTTCAAACTAAAGGAAAACAGATACACAAACATTTTAAACCAGATTTAGTTATTAACCAAAAGGTAAAATTTTTGCAGCAGCCTGCAGTGTATACTTTTACAGCAGGATTCGCTTTGGAGAATGGAGAGGGAAGGAATGATTAGTGTGGTATAATGGTCTTAACTGTTTATCTGTCTCCTGTTGTGTTTTTGGTTTTTTTTTTACTCAGATTCTAAGCTGGGTCCAGCTGAGGTCTGGACATCCCGGCAGGCTCTGCAGGACCTGTACCAGAAAATGCTAGTTACTGATTTGGAATACGCTTTAGACAAGAAAGTAGAACAGGATCTGTAAGTATTATCATTTGAGAGGTGCCTGTAAGATCAAGAATCTCATCAAGACTTTAGAAAAGAACAGTTTGTTGGTTGTTGTACTTGATTTTTTTAAACAAGATATTTGGTCATTAGTATTTTTTCAGTTTCGGGCTTGGGAGGTAAGAGTTAAATCTTCTTAAGGTCATTAGGGCACCTCTTTTAGGGTTATATCAGAAAAGTAAATATATATTTCTTGGATTCTGTGTATTCAGTCCTACGCTTAAGCCATGATTTAAAAAAAATTTAAGAGTGGAGTTATTAGAAAAATCTTTCTTCAGTAAATATGATTCTGTAAATTTCTACCAAAGAAAATGTATTTGCATTGTAAGGAAAGTTCTTCCTTTTAATCAAGTAAATAGATGTTTCCTTTTTTTTTTTCTTTTCTTTTTTTCCTCCAGTAAGATTAAAGAAAGATTTTATGTATTTAGGCTATTCCACTTGTTCTTTCTATGAGCGGTGAAATGGCAGATGACCAGATTCCCAAGTGAGTAAATAAAAGACTTTCATGGAAAGTCTCGCCTTATAAATTAAGACAAAGGCATTAGCCTGATGGAAGTTTCAAAATCAGTTAAGAATATTCTGTCTGGTTAATGCCCATTACCCTATGTAGTGGTGAAGATTAGTTGTTCCTACACCTTTCTTGGATGCTTTGTATTTGTAGGCAGTCTAGTAATAGAGCAAAGTTACAACCAGTCATTATCTGTATCTGTGATACTAAAGTCAAGGTTAAGGTGTCATCAGTGATGCTCAGGGAGTGATTGTCCTTCTAACTCATTAAAAGACCCAATGCTCTAGAGTCACAAAACTGACATGATAAAAAATAAGATACTTTCCAGGTAGGTTGTAAACCCTTTAATCTGTGTTTGCTTCCTTTAATCAAGCCAGTAATCTCTTCCCTCCATCCTAGTTCAGGATTTTGTCTTTGCTTTGTTTTGTTCTCTGTGATTTTCAAGTTAGAGAGTGACTGTATTTCACCATAACTGGATTTATGCTGATTTGTCTCTATAGCTTGATTAATAAAAGGCATTTTATAACAGGATTTTGTATGCCATATTTCTGCATTGTGTTGTTCTTATTTTAAATAGTCAAAATTGAAATGTGACTTGTATTTCAAGTTCTAAAGAAAATATTAACCCCAAGAAAAATAAGCAAACTATTAAATAGAAGTAGAACAGGGTGCTGGTGGGAAATAGCTTTTAAGACATATGGCTTACGATTTACCAGAAAAAAACTTTTTTTCTTCTACACATGTCACTTGATAGAGTACAGTTAATTGTTTTTGGCACAGTGTATTAAAATTTGTCAATAGCTTATTTTTACTTTGGTCTTACCACTTTCATTCTGATTTTGTACTGAGATTCCTAAAAAGGCTCTAACCGTAGTAGCTCTAAAAGGTTAATAGCTGAAGCTACAGTGTGGTTATTCCAACATTTGGTAAGTGTTTACTAAGGTCAGTTGGATTCTACTGCACGTCTAGTTTTTTTCAAAAAGGAGCATAAAGTTATTTAAGTAAGTGAATAACTTTAATGCAGGTTTGCTTTCTAGTGTGTTGTAATTATAACAAACAGTTCTTTCTTGTTCTCAGGGGGACCACTGTCTGCCCAGTGAGTCACTGCTATACCAAATAGAATTACATTTTGTTTTCAGCTGGAATCATGCCTTTAAGAATCAGATCACAACACTACAAGGCCAGGCAAAGAATCGAGCAAATCCGAATCGGAGTGAAGTTCAGGCAAACCTTTCTCTGTTCCTAGAGGCAGCTAGTGGCTTCTATACTCAGGTGAGTTCTGCACTGTATACCAATTTTCCTAGAATTAGTGCTGAATATTCTGATCCTTGTACACATCTTATTGTTCATATAAACACTTTGTGTAACAACTATGTGGACCGTCTAAGAGTTGATCACCTATAATTCCCAAATGAATAAAAATGTCCCAGATTGTTTACCATAGGACCTCTAAAAAAAGTAATAACGAAGGCTCTGCTTCTAAAAAGATTGATGTTTTTGTTTAAAGGTTGGAGGTGTATCTTTGAATTGAAATGGGATAATGAGAGGAATGCTTTAGTGAAATAGCAGAGGTAGTCAATTCCAAATAGTACTAGAGCAAATGTGAATTTATGGGCGTGGATATAGTCATTATGAAAGTAACACTATGTTGTGCCATATAAGTAATAGTCAAAATTTGTGATATCAAGTTTTCATAGTATTATTTATATATTAGAATTTATTTGCAGCTTGAAATGTTATTAAACTACCTTAGAAATGGAGTAGCTTTTCCCTAGTTTGAACAATGAATCAAACTGTTATTCATCTCTGTCCTCAGAGGCTTTTCTTCTCTTGATGTAACTTCTAAATCAGGCAAGTTAGAGGAGTAAATAAATCTTAAATTTCTGACTGTGCCATTTTCTTTACTGTATGCAAATTCCCTTAGATATCACCATCTCATCCATTTGCAACAGCATTTCTAATTTTATTAATGTAACTTTGTGTATAAATTAGCATCTTGCAATGACAAGACAGGGTTTTAAGGATCATGCACTGAAAGAAATCTTTAGCCAGTTCTGTGCTGCTGCTTGGTGCTTGCTACCTCTGTTTTGGCTCCGTTTTGGCTTTACCATTTCCTTGAATGAAGCAAAGAATCTCGTATTGAAGACGTCAAATAGTTAGCCGCCAGCTTATAGAGATTAGATTTTGCTTAAACTAAAGCATTCATCACAGTTTTATCATTGAAAGAACTCAAGTATGGTTCTTATTCTCAAAATTCATTTTCAAGGATACACCAGGTTTCAGCAGTATAAATTAATACTTCAGGAAAGAGAGGTTGGTGAGCCACTAACTAGTCCTTAAAGCAGATGTTAAAGATTAATTCATCCCACAAGCAGCTGTTAAAAGCCTACTTTATATAAGGCACAATACTAGATAACTGATGATATGGAGAGAGTTGAGACAGAATCATCACCTTGAAAGAAGTATCCAGTCTAACGGAAGAGATGGATATGTTAATAGATGTTTTGTTGTTGCTTTCTAATTATAAAAACAATGCATACTAGTATACGAAAGTTCCCCCTCAAAAAAATCCATTATTCCCCCGTTCAGGATAAACTACTACTTTAATATATAGCCTTCCAGTGTTTTTTATACTTTTTTACATAGCTGAGGTGATGCTGTATATACAGTCTTGTATCTGCTTTATAAACATTATAATCTAAGCATTTCCTTGTATAGTTAAAGTTTGATGAGCATCTTTGTGTATAAAGTATTTTCTCTAATATTGGATTATTTCCCAAGGGCCAATTCTTCCAAGTGGAATTATTGGATCGGTGAAATTTTCAATACTGTTGATATATATTATTAAGTTGTTTTCCCAAAAGGTCATTTATCTTTCCATCAGCAGTATATTCAAGTGCCTATCTGGCTGTACACTTGCCAGTGTTAATTATTTTCAATAAAAGTGAATGAATGAATGAGTGAATAACTTATACTTGATAGATGGAAAATGATTTTTCATTTAAATTTTAATGTCTGGATTACTAGGAACATCGCTCTTATTTTATTTAGATATTTACATTTCCTTTTTATATAAATCTTTATTCATTTACTATTACCATTCATCTCAGATCCCTGTTTTTTTTTTTTTATTTGTCTGAGTCCTACATGTAAAAGGATATATTTTTTTTAAATCGTGTTTTTGGCAAACTTTTTTCTCCAGTTTCTTCCGTTATCCTTTTGTTTTGTTTAGAAGTTTTTGGGGCATGAAAGTTGTCAGTTTTTTTTCCAGTACCTTTTAATAATAGCCTTAATATAATTGGTTTGTCATCTTGAAAAATGATTCTTAACCTTACTTTATGATATGACAAACATATACACATTTCCAAGGGTTTAACTGGACATTCATAAAACAAATTTTAAAAATCTACAGAAAAGTAAAGCAAGAACCATCCTTTCTGTTGAGGGGGCATGGTATTTGTAAAAACATTTTATAAGCAAGTGAATAATAAAATTCTGTTTTCTGAGAGATAGCTTAGAAATAGTTTTTTTTTTTTTCTTTACTTTAGATGAAAGTTTACAGAGCAAATTAGTTTCTCATTAAATAATTAATACACGTACTGTTTTGTGACATTGGTTGCCAACCCCATAACATGTCAACATTCTCCCTTTCTCGACCTTAGGTTCCCCATTACCAACTTTCCTGTCCCCTCCTGCCTTCTCATGCTTGCCCCTGAGCTGGTGTGCCCATTTAGTCTCATTTTGTTTTGTGGACCTGTCTAATCTTTGGCTGAAGGGTGAACCTCAGAAGTGACTTCATTACTGAGCTAAAACGCTGTCCAGGGGCTATACTCCCTGGGTTTCTCCAGTCGCTGTCAGACTAGTAAGTCTGGTCTTTTTTTATGAGTTAGAATTTTATTCTACATTTTTCCAGCTCTGTCCAAGACCCTCTATTTTGATCCCTGTCAGAGCAGCTGGTGGTGGTAGCCGGGCACCATCTAGTTGTGCTGAACTCAGTCTGGTAGAGGCTGTGGTAGTTGGGGTTCATTAGTCCTTTGGACTAATATTTCCCTTGTGTCTTTGGTTTTCTTCATTATCCCTTGCTCCAGACGGGGTGGGACCAGTGGAGTATCTTAGATGGCTGTTCACAGGCTTTTAAGACCCCAGATGCTACTCACCAAAGAAGAATGTAGAACATTTTCTTTAGAAAAAGGAAAATATACGGGTAATTTAGTTTTAAAATGTATTTTTATCATGAGCATTGATTCTCCCCCACATGAATTTCATAGGCAGTGGTTGAGCAGTTATGACAGTTGTGGAATAAGCATCAGTAAACTTTATTCTCACAAATTTTGATGATGTAGACTTTTCAGGTATCAACATTAATAGGATTTTTTATTTCAGTTGCGTTTTTACTCTGTCTTGGTTTGATCATTGAAACAGTTAACGGTGTTACAGACAATAATGTGGCATACATCTTGATTACATGCAGTGGGTGTTTAGTCATTAGCTTGAGGAGGTAGGCTGAGTCCAGGTGATTGTGCAGCCTTACAGCCTAAGATGAGTTTTAAATTATAGCGTTTACGTAGCTGGAAGCTATTGGAGAGCAGGCAAAAGATTAACGTAATCAGATTTGCATTTTTAAGAGATTATTCTGGCTGTTGTGTGGAGAGTGAATAGCAAGGGTCAAGAATGGAAGCTAGTTAGGATGCTACTGTAGTAATGCAAAGCAGTGGATAGATTTTTGAAGTATAGCTGATAAGACTTGCTAATGGATTGGATCGGATATATGGATTCAGGATAAGGGAGGAGTTGAAGGTGACTTCTAGTTACCATCTTGAGCAACTAATTGAATTGGTTGTACCATTTACAGAGATGGGAAGAGAACCTTTGTGTTAGAGAGAAGCTTGTTTGATATCGAAGTGGAGGTATTGAATGGGTAGTTGAATAAATAAGTTTGGAATGGAGTGGAAAGGTCAGGACCTTAATAGATTTCATGATAACAACAAAGAACCTTCACTTAGCTAGACATTAGTGTTTGGTATTTGAAACCACAGGACTAGGTGGGAACAGTTCTGCACAAGAGAAGTCACCATTGCAGTAGGAGAAAATCAGGGAAAGTGGTGCCCTGGAAGCAAAGAAAAAAGCATTTCAGTAAGAAGAGGATGTCATCAATCTTGTTGAGTGCCGCTGAGAAGTCAAGTAAGATGATTTAAAAGTGACTAATTAGATTTGACAGCATATAAGTCATTAGTGAACTTAATGAGTGCCATATTTCATCATTTCTAAAACATTTTTTTCACATTTAACATCTCTGAAATAGGGGTATATTTACAATAGATAACAAGTCATGGTTTAATTAGCAGTGTTTTTTTTCTCTCTCTCAGTGTTACATAAAATAATAGTTCATCTTATATTTATGGTACCTTGGATTTGATGAAATGTAGTGACTTCAGTGGAGTAGTGGGAATGCAAATCTAACTGGAGTGGATTGAGAAGAGACTAGGATAGGATTATCTGCAGTCATACTTTTTGCAAAGATAGTTTTGGCTTCCTCGCCTTCATTTTTGTTAACCATTTAAAGCCAAGTGCTTCAGGCTGAACCAAATTCCCAATCAAAGGAGAAAACAGTAGTCCTTATGCTAAGAAATTGGAAGCCAGAAAGGAAGCCTTATCATTAAGTCTCTGCATTAGTGTGAAAGGTGATATTCTGTACCTTCATAGTCAGCTCTCCATTCTTGGTGTAGAGTAAAGAGCTAAGGAGCAGTGGGATAGAATAAAGTTCACTCGATGCATGGGAACCCAGGAGCTCCTCTAGTATCAGCTCTAAAGCCAAAAACCAAACCCGTTGCCACTGAGTTGATTCTGACTCACAGCGATGCTATAGACAGTAGAACTGCCCCGTACAGTTTCCAGGGAGCAGCTGGTAGATTTGAATTGCCGGCCTTTTGGTTAGCTGCCGGACCCTTAACCACTGGCACCACCAGTATTGGCTCTAGTACCAACTAATTGTGACAACTTCCTCAAGTCACTGACCTCTGTGACACTTGGCTTCCTGATCTGTAAAAGGAGTAGTGTAGACAGGTGCTCACAGATTCTGTTTTCAATTTTACAATTCTATGATTGGAGTTTGGGAAGAGCAAAAGGCATTATGGTTCAGCTATAGCCTTAGGAATATATCCTGGTAAATAACTCCTTTATAATGAAGTAACTCTAACTTGTCCCAGCCACCCATCTAGATTTAGGAAACTGTTGAGTGAGGTACATCAGGTTACAGCCTATAGAAAGGTAGGATATAGTTTTTACACAGTAATAGACAAATACAGTTTTGTTCAATGTAGGAAACAGCTGTTCTCCCTCTTTCATTCCACCTAAACCAACTAGAGCCCTCTTAACCAGAAACCTTGAGCCAGCAGGAACCTATCTGATAACTTCCACAAATGGCACAGCAGCATCAGACTTTTAACTTCACAAGGGGAAGGAGAAAGAATCAAGATCATCAGCCTAAAGCTGATTCCTATGAGGTGGAGGTCAGACATACTTCCACCCTCCAACCTTTTTACCAGTTCTGACACCATCGTCCCTCCCACGGCATTCTCTGCTGCTCTGCTGAGTTCAGTAATTTGTTGCAGTGGCCACACAGAGCTCACAGTTACGGGGTTGATTAGGGAAGTAACAGGTTACAATTCAGGATCAGGAATGACTCAGGATACAGTTCTTTGGTCAGGACAGCTTCTCAGCCATACCTACAAGCAGGCCTCTCTCTCAGCTCTTCGGCCTGGCCTGTACCCTGCTCCGGCAAGTGTTACAAAACTCTTCAGCCGCGCTAATAAGTGCCTGGAGGCACCACCACCAATCCCCCCTCCCCCCACCCAAGGTGCTTAGCTCTCTGGCTCCGTAGGTTGGTCGCCACCTCACTCCGTAGGCCAGGAAGCCTACTGCACCAGCTCACCCTTGTCTCCTGATTCTGCTGCCTCTTTTGCTGCCACTTCTCGCCATCTTCTGCCGTCTCCAGCGTTACAGCTCTTTCCATCTCCTGTATCTCGGAGGTTCTCAGCACAGGACCCCAGGTCCAAAGGACACGCTCCACCCCTGGCTCTTCTCCTAATGGTTTCGAGGTCCTCTCTCAGCTCTGGGATGAGCCTAGTGGGATGGCAAAACTGACCAATCCCCTTATTAGGGTTCCATACACCTTATTTGCATGGTCCCATCCCTGCAAGGGTTCCATGCACCTCACTGCATTATTAGCAGGCTGTTGAGTCTTCTTGGTGGTCCACAAACACCTTATTTGCATGGTCCCACCCAGTCATTTTGTGAGAGTCACAAGATCATGTGTAGCTAGAGGGACCATGTTAAGTAACTCACTGTGCCACAAAACGCCACTAAAAACTCCTGAGTTCGAACAAATTTTATTATAAGACATTCCACCATGTTTGATTTACTTTTTGTGATCCTTCTTTGTTCTCCTTGCTAAATGTGCAGCCTTGCCTAGCTTTCCAGTCTGTTCTTTCAGTACCTACTGAACTTCTTATCCTCTGTCGTGTTTTTTCCTGCCATGTTCCCCAGTCATCTTTTTTTGTTCATTTTTCTTCCTTTCCTGTACTTTTATATTTCCTGACTCTAGCCATCTGGGTATTAACTTGTTTACCCAATGTCATGTCAATAATTTCCTTGCCAATTACTAATGTATAAGTAAAGATGAAGTAGGTGTTCCATATGCTTAATGAGAAAGGGTGCCCAGAATTTATATTCCATTATGTGGGTGGTTTTTATCTTAGGAAGAAGGTGGGAAGGTTGGACATTGCAGATCCTTTTGAGTTGAGTCCTCAGGGTGTCTTATTTTGCATTGTGAATTCTTTACATGTTAGAGTAGTGATAGAATTGAGGTATTTCCAATTTTATAACTTTAGTCAAATCACTTGATATTTCTGTTGCTTTCACATCCTCATCTGAAAAAAAATGGAGCTTTATACCTACATACACTGTATTTTACTACTAGCTTATTATAAGGATAAATTATGATGGATGTCTCATATAACCTAGGAAATGAAGTTTATTATTATAAATGTGCATATACTATTGGCTTATACTGTGTATCATATGTTCTCTTTGTGTCTCCCTCCCTCCTTCTCTCCCTCTTTCTTTTTCTCCATCTCGTCTCTCTTTATGTGCCTGTCTACCTGTCTTGCTCATTACTATAAACTCTTTAAGAATTTGTGTCTGGCATAGTATTTGAATGAGTGACAACAGAGTGCGAAGAACGGTGTGTGGGCCAAGAATGGGAAACATGGTAGGAGGAGAAAAGCCTTTGAATGAAGGAGACTGAGAAGGAATAATTGGAGAGATACAAAGAACTAGAAAAACTCAGTGATCAGCCATAAGATCAGCTGTGTTAAATGCAGCAGAGAAGTCCAGTAAGATGACTGAAAAATGCCCATTGTTTTGGCTATTGGGTAACTGGTTGTCTTATTGACAGTAGTTTCAGTAGAGTGGTGGTAGGAGGTAAGGTACTGGGGAAGGGTTGCGTGGAAGCCAGATCTTAATAGATTAAGGAGTGAATATGAGTTGAGAAAACAATATGGTAGGTGTGTATTCCTTTGAAGGAGTTTGGTTAAGAAGAGGAAGAGATATTAGAAGGTTGCTAGAGAGGAATTCAGGGTCAAGGGAAAGTGTTTTGGTTCTGTGTTTTGTTTTTCTTGTGGGAGATACTTGAGAATATTTATAGGCCACAGCAAAGAAACATAAGAGGTTGAAAGTAAATGAAAGAGTGAGGGAGCACCAGGCAAAAGGCAGAAGAGAATGGACTCAGAGACCTGCACAGGCAGAGGAGTTAGTTCTGAACAGGAGGAAGGACCTCCCATCCTTTGCGACTGGGTAAGAATGGGTTGTCTAGATAATGCCTCAAGTCCCTTCTAGATCTGTGATGAGATCTGTTTTGTAGCAGAGACATGAAAACTGGTCTAGGGCTTAAAATAAATTTCAAGAAAATCTTGACATCTAACAAATACTTAAATGACTTGCATTTAAGTCATATTTGTAGCCAATCAATCTTTAATGGTTTTTGCATGTTAGTGTTTTGAAAAGGTATAATAGATGGATAATTTCATGGAGTTTCATGCTTTTCTTTGCTTGCTGAATGTGTCTGAAAACCCTATTCAGGCAAATCATCTTTTTAAAAAAATGCTGCTGTTACTTTTAAATATGTCCTGGTTGCTCTAATACTTGAGAATTCAGAAGATATGATTTATAATGAATGATATTAGTTATCCTTTGAGCTGTATGTATGAAAGGTTACCATATAACTTTCCTGCAGTTCTTGCTAAGGTCTCAGCAGTATACGATACTAGGTACAGGACTCGTGCAGACTTTACTGTTATAGCACTTCTGACTTACCAGCTAAATCTTGCTCATGTTTTTCTTTTAGTTATTACAAGAGCTGTGTACAGTGTTTAATGTAGATTTACCATGCCGTGTGAAGTCTTCCCAGTTGGGAATTATCAGCAATAAACAGACGCATACCAGCGCCATAGTGAAGCCACAGTCTAGCTCCTGTTCCTATATCTGCCAGCACTGCCTCGTCCACCTTGGAGACATTGGTGAGCCTTTCGGGTGAAGGAATTGATGATACATTCATCCTTTTCTTTGGAGTAGTCATAGAAAGAAACTTTTCCTTTAAGCTTAGCATACACACACAATTTAGATTATCATCAGAGGAAATTACAAAAAATTTTTTTAAGGAACTTAGAATTTCTCGGTGTTGTGGGATTGGCAGACCATCTTGAAGGAAGTAACTTTCCTATTAAGATTTAAGTTTTATTGTGCAAACTACTGTTGATCTAGGCAGATACTAAACAGCAAAAATGTAATCAAAACTAAGTTTGTAAATTTTCCTAAAATAAAAGTCTACTCTGTTGGAATTATGGGGTTTATAAATTACTCCTTCTGAAACTAGATTGCCTTATTTCCTTCCTACCATACTAAAAGCTTATTTTTAACTTTGCTTCCATTTTAAAATTAAATTCATATTTCCATTTTATGTATTTCATCTAGAAATGTTATTTAACTTATTTATTCTTGTTCATTCCTTTAAGGTGGCCTCAAAAGGTTATAAAACAAATTAACTATAGGATTATGTTTTGACTGTCCTCAAATAACAAGGAATGGAAAACATTATTACTTTTAGGTTGGAAGATTTTAGGTTTCTTAATGTCATAAATCATTGGCTCCCTGAGGGGTCACATCAAAGTAAGCACTGAGTTCTGCATTGAGATTCAGTGAATAGTGTGTTTAGGTTGTTTTTGCTTTAAATGTATTCTTTGCACACACATACATAATATTGCAATAGATATAAGGCATTTTTCAAAATCACTTTATAAGATACTGAAGAAATATACATAATTTTCAGATCATATTGTATAGTGTTTTTTTTGTTTTGTTTTGTTTTTAAGTGCCATATAACTCACCCCTTCTTGTGGGCCGGCTCCAGGTCACCAGCATAGTCCATAGTGGGAGCTGGTGATGCATGACACTGGAGGACCTGAAAATGGGGGCTAGGTAAGCTTTAAAATTGGTTCCATGCTGAATGTCCCAAATAGGGAAGGCTGGATGGACACTTCACACATAATCCTATAGTTAATTTGTTTTAAAGTATTTGGTTTCTGTCTGTAATCTTAAATTAACTGTAATGTCTTTATTATTTTAGAATTTAAAATCATAGCTGTTTTGGAAATACTCCCCTACTGGGGTTTCATTGTTGTTTACATTAAATTTTCTTTTTCCTCCTCTTAGCTCGATACAGAAACCAGACCAGCCAGGCAGAGTCCTACTATAGGCATGCAGCTCAGCTTGTCCCCTCCAATGGTGAGTGGGCCTGTCAGCTTGAAGTTGACTGTGATACTTTATTCTTTATCACAATAAGGAAAATAACTTAAGGCTCATATTTCAAGATTCATGAAAAATAGATGTTGAGTTTTGGTTTTGTCTTTCCATAAGACCTGAAATGACTTTTTTTTTTTTTTTTTTTAAATAAGGTGACTTATTGTCAGTAAAACAATAAAAATAGAATATCCCCTAATGTTGTCTAAAATAGTTCCTACAACTCTAGCTTCCTTAATTGCTTATATAGAGGAATTATCTGTCTTTAATACTGCCACTTTCTCCTTAGAAAAATCATCTCTTATTACCTAAAGGATAGTGTTTTTATCTTTTGGTTGCTCTGAAATAGTTGTTAGCAGTGATTCCTGAATTAAAGAAATTGCAGCAGATATTTGGTGATATAAGTCATTCTTGTTAAGCCACATTGAAATTCCTTTAGATTCTAAAAGGAGCCCCATTAGAGGGTCTAAAGAAGGGATGGCAGTCTGGCCACACCATTTGTTTTACATTGTACTTGGCTGCTTTCACTCTACAATGGCAGAGTTGAATAATTGTGACAGAGACTATTTGGCCCACGAAACCAAAAATAAGTGTGCTGTTTTATATGATGCCCGTTTGTAATAAGGTAGAATCATGAGAATTAGCTTATAAAATATTCTCATTATTAATTTGAGAATTTAAAAACTGATAATTTTGTATTTTGATAGCAAGACTTTGTGCATTTTGGACTACTTTAGAATATTAACTTTCTTCTCTAGGTCAGCCTTACAATCAGTTGGCTATCTTAGCTTCTTCCAAAGGAGACCATCTGACCACAATTTTCTACTACTGCAGAAGTATAGCTGTGAAGTTCCCTTTCCCAGCTGCCTCCACTAATCTACAAAAAGCACTTTCTAAAGCACTGGAAAGGTAGGGTTGACTTCTTTCAAAGAGGACTTTGTGTAACCTGATAGTCCTGCCCCCTCAAATTTTAATGTACAAAGACCAGACTTAATGGTCTGACTGAGACATGACCCCCAGACTCTCTGTTAGCCAAGAACTAAAACCATTCCCGAAGCCAACTCCACCTGTCCGGAGGCGAGATGAGAAGGCAAAAAGGGACAGGAGCTGGTTGAATGGACACGGGAAATTGGGATGGAAAGGAGGAGTGTGCTGTCACATTATAGAAAGAGTACCTAGGGTCACATAGCAATGTGTGTATAAATTTTTGTATGTGAAACTGACTTGAATTGTAAACTTTAACTTAAAGCACAGTTGAAAACAAAAAATTAATGTACAAGAAAATAAGGGCCAGTTACCCATGCTTCTCTTCCCTTATTTTTGTTTAATTTGTAAACATAATAGATATATCGTAATAGGTTTATTCATAGTCCCTGAATTTCAACCAGTCTGATTTGTTATCAGTAGAAGAGTACAGGTGCTGAATACTGACTTGTCTGAGTGTGTTACAGTTGAAAAGTTTCATGCAGAGTCTTTCTGTATCAGATACTTACATAACTTGTTTTTGCAAGCCAGAACCTTCTTTAATAGGTTTCAGCTGTTGCTGCTTAAAATTCATGGAAATTCTCCCTTCATTTCAGCCGGGATGAGGTGAAAACCAAATGGGGTGTTTCTGACTTCATCAAGGCCTTTATTAAATTCCACGGTCATGTGTACCTGAGTAAGAGCTTGGAAAAATTGAGCCCTCTTCGAGAGAAATTGGAAGAACAGTTTAAGGTTAGATTTCAAAAACAGAGAATTTTTTTTTTTTGTCTTATTTAAATCAAGAAGCGTAAGATTTGAAAGAAACTCACTCTCAGTTTCTATGTCATTACTTAACTGTGAGCTATTAGTAAAAATTACTTTTGAAGCATATGAAATTCTTGCATACAGTAGGCCCTCAATTTAAGCTGATGTACAGTGTATATAAAGAAACACTGTAGCAATGTTTTCACTGAGTAGCTGCCATTTGGCAAAATGTATCAAAGTGGGGAAAAAAATAACTTCTTCTTCTCAGTTCCAGCCCTTCTTTCTTTATTTTGAAAAATACTCCTTTTGCTGGTTCCTGTGTTCTTACATGATTCTGTCACCTGCTTATAGATATTTTCATTCTGCAGACTGATTCATTTTTCTCATTGTGCTTCAATAGTTCAGAAATTGTGGTAGTTTAGAGGAAAGGAATGAGAATTTTATTCAGTAGGAATATATTTTACTTATTTGTATAAGGAGATAAAAATTAAATAACCTTTGTTCTGTGTATATATTTGAAAATGATCTTTTGTTAGTGTGTTAAGAAATTAGCATTTGAAATGTAAATAATACATAAGAGGAGTCAGAATTAAATATTTATTTTTAATTCGTTTATCTGACAAATTCTTGACTATTAAAACAGTCACTGTTTTAGGCACTGGGATCAACAGTAAACAAAATAGTCACAAAGAACATTTTATATTTGTTGGTATTTCTCAGAATCTATATGCTTGGAGGATTATCTGTAACTGCTTTACAGCTTTTCTATAAATGTTTTCAAAGTCTCACATTTCGAGAGATTGTAGAACTTGAAGAGACATTTAGCCAAATATAAGCAGTTTGAAATAGTTTTTGCAGATAATCGTTTTTTAGTTGATCATTTCTATGTGCGAGAGATTATACTAGATAATTATAATAGAAATGGTTTATTTTAAAGTAAACTTTTCAAGTCCCTTGTTTTCCGCTTCTCTTAGTGGCTGTTTAAACTTAGTCCAAGATGTATCATTTATAGGGTTGGGTGTCTGAAAAGAAAAGCTAACTTTTTAATGTCGCAAGCCTGAGGAAGAACAAACAAATTTAAATAGTTTTGTAGTAAGTAATCAGATATATGAACAATAATTTTAAGAGTTTAGGGAAGTGGTAGACTCTCCCTTTTTGGAGATCTTAACAGTAGGATTGACAGCTAGCTTTCTTGGATGGTTCCGGTGCAGTCCTGCTAAAAAGCAGAGGATTGGACTAAATGACTTCTTGAGATTGCTTCAAGCGCTGGTTCTATGAAAAATATACTCCCTAAATTGGGGGGGGGGGATTGCCCTAATTAGATCTACTCTGTATGAGTTATTTTAGTCTAGAACCTAGTCAATTTTGTATTTGGCTCAACTTCAAATACTAATAGTCTCTTCCAGTATGTGTTTATATTTGTATGTGAAGTTCTGGTGGTTGTAGGTGGGCAGTTGCACAAATACTCTTCGAAGTATCATTCCAACACTCCAAAGTTAAACATAGTATGAAGCAGATCTCTCTTAATCCTTACCCAATACTGAAATAATCAGAAGAGCATTGTTGGAATGAAATTGTAGCATAGTTGAGTACATCTTCAAAAGTATTTCTAAAGCATATGTAGATAATTAGTATCATTCACTTGTAAACGTCAGCGTATCTAACTAGCAGTCTTAAGCAGAAACATGTACCAAGTTGAGGTCCTTTGATGGATTTAAGGCCTGGTATCTAGGAATTGAGATGCAAGACGTTTTATTTATCTGTTAAATATATCCTGTTTCTTAATCATATCTAATTCATTGTTTTCCTTAACTGCTGTTGAACATTTGAGTAGCAAAAAATATCAATCAGTTCCAGTCTGATTTTGTTCCCTGGGAGGCCCTCTAATTACAATCTAAATCTTACGAAATTACAATTGATTGAGTTCACATTTACTTCTAAAGGTGATACGTTATCACTTCTAAAGGTTATACGTTACCACTTCTGAGGTCTCTTATCATTTCTAAGGTTTATTTATTCATTTATTATGTATTTATTGAGTCCTACTATGTACTTTGTGGAGCCCTGGTGGCGCAGTGGTTAAGAGGTTGGCTGCTAACCAAAAGGTCAGCAGTTCGAATCCACCAGCCACTCCTTGAAAACCCTATGGGGCAATTATACTCTGTGTTACAGGGTCGCTTATGAGTCGGAATCAACTCGACAGCAATGGGTTGGGTTTGGTTTTGGTTACTATGTACCATGTGGAGCCCTGGTGTTGCAGTGGTTAAGAACTTGGCTGCTAACCGAAAGGTCAGCTGTTTGAATCCACCAGCTGCTCCTTTGTCAGCTCTGCTCTGTCATATAGAGTCGCTATGGGTCGGAATCGACTCGATGGCAACAGGTAGGTAGGTAGGTATGTACCATGTACTTTTCTAGGCTCTTGGAGATACAGAATAGAGTAAGACAGCTCTGCCTTCATGAGTTTGCATTGTTGTTTGTTCGTACTAGGCTCCACTTGTATGCATTACTGCTTCTGTGAATACACTAGGAAATTCTTTAAAGGCTATGGCTGTTCTATAGGACTTTGCCATATTATCGTCTTAAAATACTTTTTGAAAAATAGAAGTTATTACTTTCATTTTATACCAATGTTATGCGTTTGTGTAAATGATCAGCTTATCTAGAAGGTTGGATGTAGAAATTGAAGGAAAAATTTTGTGGAACAATTTTGGGGAAGAGGTAGAATTTCAGAAAATTTTGAGAAAAGGAAAGAGAAATAAATACTTGATGCCTTTGGAAAAGAGTTAAGCAGTCTAGATGTATACACTGGAATGGCAGCAGGCAAGGAGGCTGAGACTTGTGATTGGGAGAATAGAGTTAAGATAGGGGGAATGGAATTGTAGTTTTCTCCAGTGATAATGTGAAAGACCTTGCTATTAGAATCATAAAGCATATTCATTATTTCAGATTCTTTAGCTCCGTAAATAGAAAAATAAAATAAGTTGGACAAAGGCAGCTCTAAATTTATGAGGTAGTAGGCTGTCTTGTCACTGCTGGTGACAATGAATTCCCACTGTCTCCAAAACTTTTGCATGGAGAGGGAGGGAGGCTGGCTGTAGCCAAAGTGTTGATGAAGCCAGGATATCTTCTCCAGTAGCTATCACCTTTGTTAGGGATATATGTTTGAAGATATTTTGATGGGGGTATTCTGAAACTACTGTAGATGTTAAAGTAGAAAGGTGACTATTAAGTTGAAGCAACCAGCTGAGAACATCTAAGTGAATTCCTCTTTTTAGTGCTCGTAACAGGCCATCATGTGTGATGAAGATGAATGGACATTTCTAATAGGGGAAAACGTTAGTGTGATAATTTGTAGAAGCACCCATAACACATCCTAATGTTTAGTACATCATTTACCCTGTTTTCCGCAATATGTTCTTGGCTGTGCCTTGTTTATAAATAAGGTTCTTTAAATGTGTCGAGCCTTTAAAAGAGTAAGTTTTATAATAAATTTTAGAAGTAATTTTTGAGTCTTTTTGTTTGAAATGTTATTTTTCACTGTGTGCATCTGCTTTCTAGTCATCGATCCCAATTTAAGATTTTTATATATACACATCTCTTATAAAACAACTTCAGTTGAATTAAGATGTATAAAGTCATTGATGGATCCTAAAACATTTTTCTTATATTAAAAAATAATATAGTTTCTGCAAAGAGTATTTTGAGAAATTACTCAGATAGCTCTGTGGGCCTTAGTAGTTTCTGGATTAATAACTTTCAAGACAAAAACTCAGACCACATTAGACCCAGTTAAAATACTGGGGATTCAGAGTGGGACAGTTTATTCACCTGAGCTCTAAATACAGACTGCCAGTTAATTTTTGTGTCAAAATGGCCCCTGTTCTTGATTATGTATACGTTATTCCTGTCTTCTTTTACAGAGGCTGCTATTCCAAAAAGCTTTCAACTCTCAGCAGTTAGTTCATGTCACTGTCATTAACCTGTTTCAACTTCATCACCTTCGTGACTTTAGCAATGAAACGGAACAACATAGTTATAGCCAAGATGAGCAGCTGTGTTGGACACAGTTGCTGGCCCTCTTTAGTAAGTATTAAATCATTTAACTTGGTCTATGCTGTTTTCTTTGAAAAACATTAGCCATTTTCATCATTGCAACAAAATACATACAAAAGGTCATGTATTTCTTAATATTGAATCAGGAGGCCTAAACTCCAAGTTTCAGCCTTTTTATTTGCTCATACCCCCTCATCAACTGTATAACATATTTAGCAAGGGAAAGAAATTGCCTTTTCAGAAAGAAGATGTTTTTGTTAAGCAGAATACAACAGAAGGCTCATAATGATATTTTACTTTTGACTGGTACACAGTTTCAGATATCTTATGTTTTCTGAATACATTTTCTCTTTAAGTGTCTTTTCTTGGCATCCTGTGCAAGTGTCCTCTCCAGAACGGATCTCAGGAGGAGTCCTACAATGCCTACCCCCTTCCTGCAGTCAAAGTCTCCATGGACTGGCTGAGACTCAGACCCAGGGTCTTTCAGGAAGCAGTGGTGGATGAAAAACAGTAGTAAGTGTTTTAGAATTTCGTGTTCGCTTGTGTGCTTTGTTTGCTTGATACTCATAGATATGTAAAAACTGGCTTCTAAAACACAGCAGTTGAACAGTGGAAGACTATTTTCTGCCTACTCTGGAAATTGAATTGAAGACCTTTTTGTGTATTTTTTTTTTCCTTTGCTTTTTTGAATTCTTTATGTGAGCCACAAGTCTTAAGGATTTGTGATTCCTTGTGCCCGCCCCCTATTCCCAGTTGCCATCCTGGGGAAAAGGCATTTTTACATTTCAGAATGAATTTGAAATAAAACCAGTTTCTTACCTATTCACAGTATGCCACAATTCTCTGTTTAGGAATTAAAGGGAAGAGATTTTTGTTTTCTTCCATTATTTTCCCTATGTAAGCTGTTTGATGTTGCTTTACAGTAACACCCACTTTGAATTATATTTGTTTGTTTTGAGCATAAAGGAGTGGAAGTTGTTTTGGCTCTCACCATTTTCTCTGTAATCTGTACTCTGAGTAATTCTGGGCTTAGGAACTCTTGATTTTACAGTGACAAATGAAAACTTTCAGAACACCTTTGATTATAGGATTAATACTTCCAAGAAGTCTTTGCAGTGACTACAAACTGCCTCCCATGCATATTTTGATGGTGGACATAAGGGGAATCTTTTTGAAATGTCTGCTTTGTGGCCCAGCCACATTGACCAACGTCACATCCTAGAAAATGGTCTAACCATATTTAAGACCCCGAGATCCCTGTACTACTTTTTTTTTTTTTAATTTTATTGTGCTTTAGGTGAAAGTTTACAGCTCAAGTTAGTTTCTTACTCAGTTATGTTTGCCTCTCTCAAAAAGACTTAAAAAAAAAAAAAATTTGCCAAGTCATACGTAGTGCGTCGGATTTATAGATTTTTCTAATGTTTGAAATATAGCAGTGTTTTTGGTATGTTTAAATGTAAAGTGGTATTTATAAATCTGTGTCCGTAATGGAGACCCTAACATGCCTCATTCAGAAACCAAGGATTTTAATGATACAATTAACTGGTACGTAGAACTCAATTCCTAATGAAGAACTGACAGTGAATTCTGAAACTGATAATGTATATGAAAGCCCCATATAAACATAATATGTTGTTTCTCTTTTCAGAGTTTTCTTAATAAATGTCAATTTCCAGTGTTTAAAGGTTATAAGTTATTTTTCACTATTTGTTAACTTAGGAGCTTGGGAAATGATCCGCTTAGCAGAGAGATCGGACCCTTTTATCTAGAGTCTTTGAAAATATGTTTTAGAAAATTATGTAGCCTTTAAATAAACCTTTAAAATGCTGACACGGGAAAAATACATAAAGTCAAGGTTATGTAGAGATCATTTTCATGGCTTATCAGTGTTCTGGTTTCATTTGTATAAAAATAAAGTCTGAAATATCTCTTTAATTTACAGCATTTGGCCCTGGCTAATTTCTCTTCTAAATAGTTTCCATCCCCATGAAGAGGATCTCTCAAGTACAAATGGTAAGGACTACCCTAACCTTGTATTGTTGATGTTGTTATCCATCACTAATGGTAAGATTAAGGCCAGAGCAAAACAGGTTTTTAGTGTTAAGTGTTTGGCTTAAAATTCTATATCTCACACTGTACCTCACAAGAGACTTTGAGCTCTACATTAAGTTTAGAGGTAAGGATACTGTAACATTGTAGACTTTTGGAGAGGTAATATGGCAGCATATTCTTCTGTTTAGCTACATTTGAATAGACTTAAGGAGTCCAGAGAGTGCAATATCTTCAAATTCTTTCCATTTTCTTCCCTTCCTCTTCTTACCATTGAAAAGAAAAGGAATTCGTGAACATTACTCATCAAAGTATAATACCTGCTTGTTGTAGAAAATTTGGGACATACAAAGAATACAGATCACCCATAGTTCCTCTATATGGAGATACTTTGTACTGTTCATATGATAGTATATCTTCTTTGGTTTTGTTTTGTGTGTGTACATAAACACACCTTCATATGATTGGTATCAGATAGAGCTTTGAACCTGCCTTTTAAATTTAACATTATATTGTTAGTATTTTCCTTTGTCATTATACATTTTGAAAGCACGATTTTTACTGGCTACATGACATTCTATCCTGTGGAGGAGGCATAATACACTTACTCATTTCTCCATTGGTTTAAAAATTTCCCAGTTACAAATCTGCACTGAACAACCTGTAATTTGATTCCTTTCTGACTATTTTCCTTCCCTTAGATCAATGCTTCTCAAGTGTTAATTTGCAAATGAATCACATGGGATCTTGTTAAAATGCAGTTTATGATTCAGTGGGATTGAGGTCATGCCCACGACCCTGCCTTTGTTACAAGTTCCCAGGTGATGTCGGTGTTGTTACTCAATACTTGGAGTAACCAGAAGATAGCTGATCTGAGTTTTGGGATTACTGGATCCAAGGTTATGAATTTTTAAGACTGCTGATTTCAAAAAAATCCATCATACCCAGCCTCCTCAGCATTAGGTGCATGTCTAAGGTAGCATACAGAGCTTTGACAGGTGAATTATTTTATCGGAGTTACTATAGATAAGAGCAGAGAACTATGAGCATTACAGATCGTTTCTTTCTGTATAGAAGATCCCGTTTTTTTTTTGTTTTGTTTTTGTTTTTCATTTAATGAGCAGAATTAAAATGTTTACAAATCTTGGTTTCAATCCTTCTCTAGCTACCCCACTTCCAGAAGAGTTTGAGTTACAAGGATTCTTGGCTTTGAGACCTTCTTTCAGGTGGGTGGCAGCTGAAGGAGGTTTACTTCATTACTGGTGATTGCAGCATTCAAATAACAGGAATCAGGCTTGGGTTTAGAGGAATCACTGATCTGTCCCAGCTATGTCTCATTTTCTTAATAGCACCTTGTAATGAAAGATTGTTGATGTGAAAATAGATTTGTATATGTCATGCCTGTTATTCCTGTGTAATATTATTACTAACTGCTTAAAAAACAAAAAAGAAAGGGGGAAAAAATTTCTTCTCCAAGCGATACACACTGAATTCCACCTTTTATACTTTTCTTAAAATTAGAGGGTAAATGTTTCAAAAATAGGGAACAGATGTAATCCAGAGGATATTGCTTGATTTTTTTCTTATCAATAGTGATGATAAAGCTTGTTGTAAGCACTGAATAAAGAAATCATTGTGTGCTTCCCTCAAACCAGTCATCAAAGCTCGTACCTCAGATTAGCTTGAGAATTAAGCCAGAAACCCTCTCTTTACTTGTATTGCCATCTCTTGATCTCTGGAAAGAGTTCTAAGCTCTCAGTAGTAATTGTTATAGGAATCGCTCTCTTCCACAGGGCACATTTCATAGCAATTAGAAATTAAACATTTCTAGAAAATGGACATAAACTCCAAGAACATAAGTCATATGGAAGGAAAATTTAATGAGTTTGTAGCCTTTAGAGATTTCTGAGTATTCCACTCTCCATCATTAACCCCTTATTAACTGCCTCACTCTGAACAGATGACCTAACCTTTCCATTTCAAAGACAGACAGCTTTCTCAACTTCTACCCTCCCTCTAATCTGTTTTCCAAACATCCTTTGTCTCTTTCCCTCCTGTTTCTAAGGAATAAATTCTTAACTCCTTTTCAGGTCTTACCCTTCCATGTAGGCCATTGATCCCATCCGTTACTACCTCCCCAAGAACCTTGCTTCAGCTGTTATTCTCTCTCCGTGTTTTATTTCCAGTATATATATATATATATCTATATATCTATATCTATATATATATGTATAACTAATTACTTCCGTTTAGCCTGATAACATTCAGGTATGCCTTATTCTTTAAAAATAGAAATTCACAACCCCCCTTTCTCTTATGTTTCCATGTCTTTCTCTTCATCACCAAACTTCTGAAATGAGTAGAACCTTATGGACTCTACTTCACCTTCCAGTCATTTCTCAGCCTACTGCAGTTTAAACTATCGGTGCCCTTGTAGTTACCGAATCCCAGTGACTTCTTTATAACGTTTATCCTATTTAATCTTTATTTAGCACTGAATCTTTTGACCCCCATCCTTCACGAACTCTTCATTTTCTTAGCTCTTGACATCACTCCTCTTTTCCTACCCCTAACACTCAGTCAGTTTCACTCTTTCTTTTGTACTACATGCCTCTAAATAGTGGTGTTCACCAAGATTGTTTCCTTGCCTTTCCTCCCTACTTTCTGCATTCTCCCTGGTGATCAAACTCATCCATGTCTTAAGCTTTCATCTCGTGGATGGTCAGCCCCGGATCATCAGTTCTGACTTCTGTTTGAGTTTGGACCTATATTTCTAATAATCTGACCTCTTTATGCATTTCAAACTTTAACATGACCAAAATTGAGCTTATATTTTCCTGTTTAGCCTGCAAAAAACACTTACTGCTATATTTCTTACTTGTGCTTGTGACATTATTCACCTATATGACCAAGCTAGAAATCTGAAAATTTTTTATTTCTATTACTCTTTCTCACCAAGTCTTTGTAATTCTGTGTACAAAATGCCTATTAGATCTATCTCCTCTCATGCATTTCACCTTTGTTAAGACTTTTATCACTTTTTACCTGGAGTATTAAAAGGCTTCCTAATTAACCTCCTACTTAGAGCTTCTCTCCTCCTATAGTCCATTTCTACTCTGCCTCCAGAATTATATGTTTAAAGTATAGAACTGATGATGTGCCGTGACAAATATGAAAACTTCAATTTATCCACCCTACCCCACCCCAGTTGCTCCAGACTCTTGTTTGATGTCCAAGTTGTGTCACTGTCAGGCTCTTAGTTTTTCAGCCTTATTTTTTGCCACTACTATCCCCTCCCCACCAGTACTTACATACATACACACAGCATCCTATTCTGGAGCTCTATGTTTCCTCCAGACCTTTGTTCATGCTATGCCTGGAACATAACCTCTTCCCCCAACTCCGTTTACTAGCTCATTAAGCACTTACCCATACCTGTAAAGGTCTAACTTGGGTATTAGTTATTTTGTGAAATCTTACCAGACCTTATCAGAAGGAGCTAGTACCTTCTTTTACTATGCTCTCTTTGCATAGTTTTCGTTATAATACTTATCACACTGACAAATAATTATTTGTCCTTAAAGATTGGGACAATTTTTTATTTGTGTCATCAGTATCTAGCCTACTGCCTGGCAATTCTTAGATGCTTTGAGAGGAGGGGGAGATTGTTGTTTCATAAGGAGAAATCTAAAATAACCACTATTGAAAAAATTAGTTTAACCTTCTAATGTCAGTGAGCTTTTGCTCTATATACTTAATGGTATTTATACTTTTTTCCGGTTTAGAATGGGCCATCTTAAAAAGTGGATAGACTAGTACTGTTTATCAGAATAGGCATCTCAGAAGCTCAGCATTGCCATGGTCATTTCAAGCAAATTACTTAGATTGCAGGGTTTGTATGAAACTTTACAATGAAAAAAGAATCTTTACTGATAAAACATTGTGCTTTAGTTGAACTCCTCAGAAAGTGAAGTATAAGTAAAATTATTACATTGATGTAATTATTTTGCATATTGTCTTTTCTACTTTGCTTCATTGTATTTAAAATCTTCAGGAATTAAAAATTCAAACAAATACAGTTAATTACATCAAGCTGCTAACCTGTTTGGGAAATATCTGCAGCCATTACAGTTAATCAGGAGTACTTGGTACATATCTTTTTTTGTTGCCTGGGAAATATCTTTAGCAGTTTAATTTTCTGTAATTTGCCATGTCAATTTTAGGAACTTGGATTTTTCCAAAGGCCACCAGGGTATTACAGGAGACAAAGAGGGTCAGCAAAGACGAATACGGCAGCAGCGCTTGATCTCTATAGGCAAATGGATCGCCGATAATCAACCAAGGTATGGCCACGGAACTTCTGCTCTTCTCCTTTTAATCTTCTTATCAGATATGTGCATACACACACACTCCACATATATTTTAGGCTTTTGTATAATGCTGTTAGTTATGAACCCCTGAGTCAAAAGGTTGATAAGTCTCAACATAAACCCTTAACTATTTACCTTCAGTCATACCATCAAATTCTGACCCTAGTTCTCTAATTGATAAACATCTGTGTAAGTCTAACTACATCGTATGTTCACAGTAACAGTGATTTATGTTGGCAAGAGTGTGGTGGTCAGTTTAAGTCAGGCTAGACCAGGAACAGGTTTCAGTGGCTGTAGTGGAAGGAACACAGGTTTTGGTGTCAGGTTTGACTTCAGTTTCTAGTTATGCCATTTCTCAGGTATGTGACCCTGGGATCTCCCCAGTAGATTATAACCTTTTCAGAAACAGTAACTTACCACTTACTCATTTTTACATTCAGGTTCCTGTCATACTGTAGGCACTTAACTGGTTGAATGCTTGAATTAACACCTGAGCTTCAATTTCCACACCTATAACATAGGAATTATATATAGCTCCCATGTAGGGCATAAGGGCCTCGGCCAGTGCCTTGTGTTTAACATGGTCCATTAATGTAGCTGTAATTATTAGAAAACATCGAAAGGCCAGGGGAATGTGTTTGGTAATGTTAATTGTGATATGAGAATCTGAATTTCTAGATAACTACTTTTTGTGGTACCTGAATTCATATTTTTTTATGTCTTGCTGTTTCCATAGTTTTTAGAACCAGGAATACATTGACTGTTGGATCCATACACAGTTCAGTTGTTACTGTTCTTTAGGTTTATGTTTTTCATATATGGATTTATTTTTACTTTTTTAGGCTGATTCAGTGTGAAAATGAGGTAGGGAAATTGTTGTTTATCACAGAAATCCCAGAGTTAATACTGGAAGACCCTAGTGAAGCCAAAGAGAACCTCATTCTGCAAGAAACATCTATAATAGAGTCACTGTCTGCAGACGGGAGCCCAGGACTGAAATCAGTGCTATCAACGGGCCGAAATCCAAGCAACAACTGTGACACAGGGGAGAAACCAGTGGTCACCTTCAAAGAGAACATTAAGCCACGAGAAGTGAACAGAGACCAAGGAAGAAGTTTTCCTCCCAAAGAGGTGAGAAGGGACTATAGCAAAGGAATAACTGTAACTAAGAATGATGGAAAGAAGGACAACACCAAGAGGAAAACTGAAACCAAGAAATGCACCTTAGAAAAGTTACAGGAAACAGGAAAGCAGAATGTGGCAGTGCAGGTAAGCTGTATTTGAACTATAAAGCAGGTAGAGGAAGGCTCACACAAAAGGCAAGGTTTTTCATTTTGTTCCTAAAGCCTTGAGAATGGGCTCTTGTGGATGCTTCAGTGCATTCTCTGAACGCATAGGTTATGTGCAGAGCTATGGTAGAAGCTTACTTCATCAATTCTTGGAAATTTTAATATGAGTGAAAAAATCTCAACCTGACTGACATTCTTTGTCAGTCCCACCAGTTTAAGTGGTTTGAAATGACCAGTTGCAGAGCCGTCAATTCCACAAACATATTTTCTCTGAAAGATGTAATTCCCACTTGTTAATGTGTAGTGGGTGAGTTGAGATCTTGTATAAATCCAATAGAATTAGGAGTATATTAAGCCTCTGATAGGGTTTTTTTTTTTTTCTCTCCTAGATTTACCATACAAAATTATTAAGTATATTCTTGGAAGAAAATAAGAGGCTCTTTTCCTCGTCATTTGTACCTGTCCGAGCCAGTAATAGCATTATACCACTTAAGTGTTATCCTGGCTCATGGGAACTTGTAAAGCAAGAACCCAGGTCTCTTGCTGGGAAAAAATAAACACTGCTTGGTTATTCGTGACTGGGTTTTTCCATACCTTTCCAGAGAGATACAGATGATATCATATAAACAGAAAAGAGTCTTTACTCTGCACTGGTAATTGATTTTATTTAAACCATTGAGTAAGTACTTTAGTGACCATGTGATTTGTTAACACATTTTGGCAGATGTATTTGTTTGCAGTAGACATGAGGAACTTTACATTGTTGAAGACTGTTTTCAAATAAACAGTACTTTCAGTATAGTTCCCTAATGGGATTTTTTGAGAAAGGGAGAAATAAGAAAATAATAGCTTCACTTTAAGATTAATAGTAGGGAGAGAAACAGAAAAAAAACATGCTAGAAATTGAGAAAAGACATGAAGAACGATAGGTGCTAGGGAAAGGAAAAAACCAAAGGAACTAGAAAGCCAAAGGATCAGAGCATTAGGGTTAGAGTCCAGTGTTTTTCCTGCCTGCCCTGCCTCCATTCTCTGTAACTGCCTCCCAAAAGTCCAGACTGAAAGTAAAATCATTGTTCTGGTCCCTCATCTAAAATCTGTCCACAGATGATTAAAGAAGCCAATACATCACCACCCTCTGAACCTCATCCCAAATTTGCTATAAATGCTGCCTATTTTTCCTCATTTTGTCTAACTGAAAAGCCTTTATCTGGAGCACATGGCATCTGCTTCTCCATATATCTGATCTCAGGGCCTGTTCGTTCCTGCTAAAAGTATCCTTATTTATTCTGAGGGGTGGTAGGGCTGCAGAGTGGAGGGTGGATAACTGACCGGTGGTACACCTGCGACTGCCCAGGTGAAATTAAGCTGAGGGCCAAAGATCTCTCACCTGTGGGTTAATAGTTGTTATTAATTCACAATTCATCTGTGCTAATTAATGATTAGAATATAGAGTGCCCTGGGCCCTATAAATAGGTGGCTTGAGATCATAGGCAACTTTTTAAGTCTTTTTGGTGTCACATGTCTCATTTGTAAAACAAATGGTCTCCAAGGTCTTTTTCATATTTAGTATTTTTATGATTCTGTGCAAGCAAAATTCTTACATTAGTAAAACTAAGCCCTTATATCTTTATTGGCAATTAAATTGGTTTTGACTTTTCCATTTTTAAGTTAAGTGAATTTAAATATTCTCAGTGTATACTTTTTTTACATAATGAGATTTTAAATACTTAAGAGTAGGTGCTTCTTTCTGACACATTGATTTTCAGATTATTATAGATAGTTTTGCTTCTGTTGGTCATAGGTAAAATCCCAGACAGAACTAAGAAAGACTCCAGTGTCTGAAGCCAGGAAAACACCTGTAACTCAAACCCCAAGTCAAGCAAGCAACTCCCAGTTCATCCCCATTCATCACCCTGGAGCCTTTCCTCCCCTTCCCAGCCGGCCAGGTAAATGTTTTGTCGTTCTACTTGATCCTGTCTATGTAGGAATTTGTATTCATTCATTGAATAATTCATACTGCATAGGAGTGATATTACTGCACCATAATGTTAAAAGATAGAAGGAAGCTCTGTGTTCCCTAATGCTTATGAAGTTGTTTTTGGTTCATTGCTCTGTAGTTTATATACAAGTGCATATTTGTTAACATAAAGGAATTCCTGTCACTAAACATGATCTTTAAGAAGCCACCTTTAGAGAACCCTGTTTATTTTCATGGATAGAAGAAAAGTAGCCAGTGGTCTGTATTTAGTTCTTAAAATTAATTGAAGTTAAAGGTTTATACTATTGGTTGATTCCTTACTCTTTATTATTTGTAAGAAGACATCCCACCCATTTAAAAAAAAAAAGATGACTTTGTTTTTTTTCCTTTTCTTTGCTGTATTTCTTTAAACTAAAGTTATATTCTTCTGTTTTGAAGGGTTCCCGCCCCCAACATATGTTATCCCCCCTCCTGTGGCATTTTCTATGGGCTCAGGTTATACCTTCCCAGCTGGTGTTTCTGTCCCAGGAACCTTTCTTCAGCCTACAGCTCACTCTCCAGCAGGAAACCAGGTGCAAGCTGGGAAACAGTCCCACATTCCTTACAGCCAGCAACGGCCCTCTGGACCGGGGCCAATGAACCAGGGACCTCAACAATCACAGCCACCTTCCCAGCAACCCCTTACATCTTTACCAGCTCAGCCAACAGCACAGTCCACAAGCCAGTTGCAGGTTCAGGCTCTAGCTCAGCAACAGCAATCCCCTACAAAAGCTGTGTCGGCTTTGGGGAAAAGCCCTCCTCACCACTCTGGATTCCAGCAGGTAAGCTCAGCTTGGTGTACTGCCATGCTGAAATGGGGCTGGGGTGGGGGCTGCAATTATTCAGCATTTGCTCAGTTAAAAATACTAAAGCTTTGAGACATTTCTTGCTTAGATTTGTAAGGAATATGGGACTAGAAAACTATTCTCTGTGCTGTTTAGGGAAGTTCAAATACTTTTCTTCTTACCTTTGTAAAGGATAATAGATTAGATCTTAACTACCACTTTTTGCCATTAATCAGCTTTATAGAAAAATATTTTCTGTAAATTTCTTCTGTTTGAACAGAAACTGGAAAAGGGAAATTGAACTGTAATCTTGATTAAGTGCTAAATAAGATATGGCACCAACCTTAAATACTATCATCCCCATAGCACTTGAAGCAGGAGGGGGAAAACACACACATTCATTCATTAAACCTTGTAAATAATTGGATTGAAAGAACATGAGTTCAGCATCCTTAATCTGTTCCCAGAAAGCTGTGTCTATTGAAAAACGCAAAAGATAAAACTGCTACCTTGCCTAGGGTTTTGTTGGTTGTAAAATTCCGCAAGTTCATTTTGTGATTTCTGAGCATTGAATGTAAGTAACATTACATTTTATCCTCACTTTGATGACAGGCATCTCTTTTGTAGTATCAACAGGCAGATGCCTCCAAACAACTATGGAATCCCCCTCAGGTTCAAGGCCCATTAGGGAAAATCATGCCTGTGAAACAGCCCTACTACCTTCAGACCCAAGACCCCATAAAACTGTTTGAGCCGTCATTGCCACCTCCTGTAATGCAGCAGCAGCCTCTAGAGAAAAAAATGAAGCCTTTTCCCATGGAGCCATATAACCATAATCCCTCAGAAGTCAAGGTCCCAGAATTCTACTGGGATTCTTCCTACAACATGGCTGATAACAGAGCTGTAATGGCACAGCAAGCAAATATAGACCGCAGGGGCAAACGGTCACCAGGAGTCTTCCGTCCAGAACAGGATCCTGTGCCCAGGATGCCATTTGAGGTGTGTGTTCTTTCCTGTCACCAGGCAATTTAGAGATAGGTCTGGGACTGCATATCTTTTGTAAAGCTCTCTCTGATACATTAGTACTACAGAATGCTGTTGAGTAACTGGAGCAGCTCTTTAAAATTGCACAGTATGTTTGAGTTTAAGGAGCTGAAGAATTCTTTAACTGATTTTGAACTGTGATGGACTGGCAGAGAAATTGTGTGCAGAAATCTCTAACACAGCATGTTTGAGAATTAGACAAAGAGCTCCTCTCAGTTGGGCTGAATCGTCTGAGTTTAGAAATAGGTTTACCAAGCATTTAAACAAATTGCTTTCTGAGAGGAACAAAGTCAGCCAGTTATCTTGGACAGTGGAGCTCCTTTTCCTTGCCCTTTTTATCCATGAGAAACAGGTGTGTTTGTAACTTCCGAAAACAGTTTGTTTCTCTATTTTGTTAGCACGTGATATGCTAATCCGTTTGCTACTTTGCATTGTTTTACTCACTAGCCAAATTAACCTTTTATATTCTGCTCTGTTTCTCAATATTTTCGCTGCTTTCTGTTCTGTCTTGGTGTTTCTTTACACTGTGCTTGTTTCACTTTCCTCTTTGCGTAATCCTGTATATTTCACTACTGATTTCTTTCCTGTCTCGAGTTTAGTTGCCTTCATCATCCTAATCATGCTACTTACACCTTTGTGCTTTTCTATTGTCATCCCTTATTGCATCTTACTGTGATCGTTTCTGTCACTAGGACCCCAAGAGCTCCCCTCTGCTTCCTCCGGACCTGTTAAAGAGTCTGGCTGCCTTGGAGGAAGAGGAAGAGCTGATTTTTTCTAACCCTCCTGATCTTTACCCAGCTTTGCTGGGGCCTCTCGCCTCTCTTCCTGGACGAAGCCTCTTTGTATGTATTTGACGTAATTCTGCTGCTTGCACTAACCTGAACTTCTTTCCTGAGATTTTGTAGTATTTGAAATAAATTTCTTCTTTCTGAGGCTTTCATTCTTTACAGAATTGATGGTCCAAACTAACCCTAAATGAGAATAGAACATGGCAAAACATTTCAGACTCCATACCTCCCCCAAATCTTAAAGTCACAGCTTGGTTGTATGTGTTGTCCTGAAAGCATCCTGCAGGGCTGGTCACACACAGGACATGATGCTGGCAAGTTAATTCACTTTTCAGGTGGCACTTCCATCTGTACCCAGATTTTAAGTGTCATTTAATCTTGCTTAAGAACAGCAAGATTTTTCCTCAGATGTACACAAAATATGAAAGGAAATAAGTTCTGGATTTTTGTTACTAACCTTATTAAACAGTATGTGGCTCTCTTCTGTTTGGTTGTCTGAACCCAGGAAGAGTCCTGATCTAAATTCAGAGCCTGATTCATAAACAGCATGAGAAAAATCAAGGGGATTCTATTTGTAAACATGGTTGGACTGCCATGAATGACTGAATAACTAGGGTGACATAAAATCTAAGAATTTATTAGTGGTAATCTTTTTTAAAATGATCTTCCAGAACCCAGCCTGCATTCCAAAGAGCGTTGTTTTGTACTCTTTTCAGTGTTTACATTATATTTTATGAAGGGTGGAGGAGTACAAAAGATGGGAAGAAAGACTAGATGCTGTGAGGTTTTTTCCCCTCCCTCACTCCATCTTAATACGTAAAAAGATTCTGAGTTTTACTTTCTTGCTATTTCTTTCCCACAAACACATAGCAAGAAAATGTAAGATGAAGGTGCACCCCAGGAGAAATAAAAGCTTAATGGCTATCATAACAGTTGCCACCCCTGGCACTTGAAGTTCCCTTAAGTTAAGAATTTGCCTGGGTGAGTGGCAGTAGAAGGCCCCTTCCCCCAGCAGAGATAACTGCTCCTTTAGAAACTAGAATAATAGTAGTGCCATGACTGAGTAGAGCTTGTAGGAGGAGTCCAGCTGCTGTACTGTTGCCTCTGCATGTTGGCCTTTCTTGCTGCTTTGGCTGGGGTGGCGTGAGGGACCTAGTGTAGTGTCTCAGTCCGCTTATTTCCCTGTCCCTTGGTTCCTGGTGCTTCCACCCCTCCCATTGGAAATGGAGCTGATGGTGAAACAGATGTATGGGTTTTTTGTTTTGTTTTGCTTTTTTGATCTATTTTGTTGCATGTTTTAAAATAACAATTTAAAAAAACCCTTTACCGTAGCCATTACTATATTTAACATTGTCAGCAATATAGGGTGTGCAAAAGTGCTTTGCATGTAGTAGGTGTTTAATAAATGGTTTGTTAACCAGCTATTAAATGACAGTGAACATTATTTAGCTTTTTTATTTTTCTAATAACTTTCTTAGGGCCAAATAAATGGAAGCTTGACTTTTAGCAACTGTTTTAATACATACCACAAATAGAGCTGCTTAGGAAACATGTTAACAAAATCAGTTGTCGCATTGATGTGAAAGGTTTTAAGTCATTAATTTCAGTGTTTTAAAATTGGGAGGAAAAAACAGTGCCAGAACAGCTCTTCATCTTGTTTTGAGAGTGTTTTAAGTGGGACTGTTAACAAGGGGAGGAGCCCTGGTGGCATAGCGGTTAAGTGCACACCTGCAAGGTCAGAAGTTTGAAGCCACCAGCCACACTGTGGGAGAAAAGACCATAAAGATTACAGCCTAGGAGACCCTATGGGGTAGTTCTACTCTGTCCTGTAGGATCACAATGAATCGGAATCAACTCGAGGGCATGCAACAACAATTAACAAGGGGATTCCTGAGGTTCATGCCTAGAAAATGCTCAGAATTGCCATTGTCCAGGGTCTCTGGTCCCTGCCAGACAGTCTGTGCTGGATAGGATACACCAATAAAGGAGGGCTCTGTCTGACTCACCTGTTGCATATGGACTTAGCTAGTTTCATGGTATTAATGGATTTGAATTCCTATCTTCTAAGCCTTATATCATATACCACAGGCCCTTGTGGTATAAGTATGCTTAAATGGTGGTCTTCTACTTTGGTTCTATAGTATTTTAAGATTAATGTTAGAAAATAGAAGACATAATGTAACTGCCTTTTTTTTTTTTCCTCCCCCTCGGGGCTCTGAAGAAGTCCTTATTGGAGAAGCCCTCGGAGCTCATGTCACATTCATCCTCTTTCTTGTCCCTCACCGGATTCTCTCTCAATCAGGTGGGTAAACAGTTAAGACTCCTGCTTTGTGTTTTTATTGGAGGCTATAGTAAAGAGGATCCCTGGTGGTGCAGTGGTTAAGCACTTGGCTGCTAACCAAAAGGTTGTTGACAGTTCAAATCTACCAGCCGCTCCTTGGAAATCCCATTGGGCAGCTCTCTTCTGTTCTGTAGGGTCACTATGAGTCGGAATCAACTTGACGGCAACAGGTTTGGTTTTTTGGTTTATAGTAAAGAGGGAGACAATTCAAATTAACTTAGCACATTTGAAGTTGAACTTTTTTTTACTGATGTTTTCTTTCCCATTTTATTTTAGTGTATCTGTTTTTCTGTTTCCTTTCCCTTCCATTATTAGTGTCTTCCAGATATTTGATTTTACCCTGTCTCTGATCGAAATCCTTAGGGCTTTGTTGTTCAGTCAAAGAAATAATTTGCATTTTTTAACCTGGGTGATTTTTATAGAGCAAAATAATGGGTGAGAAAGCAAAAGGGAAAATGAGTTTGACAGGAAATTTTTTAAAAACAGAAAGGAACAAAAGCCTTCAGAAGTGTGTCATACTAAGAAAAGCTTAAGTTTTATCAAATGTCCATAAGCATTGCATTTTCTTAAATCTCTTTTCCTTGGAGTGAGTTTATAACTTGGCTGTTTATTGTGTTGCAGGAAAGATACCCAAATAATAGTGTGTTCAATGAGGTATATGGGAAAAACCTGACAACCAACTCTAAAGCAGAACTCAATCCCTCAATGGTCCCCCAGGAAACATCACTGTACTCGCTTTTTGAAGGGACTCCATGGTCTCCATCACTTCCTGCCAGTTCAGGTATTAACTGGTCTTTAGACTGTAGACCCTGCATTTTCTGTGCACTCAAGCTGATTAAGAGTTACTATGCTTCTGTAATTATTTATATATATATGTGTGTGTGTATATATATATATATATATAT